AGAAAATAGCAACTAAAATTATTTATCTAAATCTAATGAATATGGACAATAAAAATAAATTATAAAAAAAAAAAAAAATTAAACAGAGAATAAACGGGGAAAAGGCCTACCCCCGCCCCGCCTTAAACGGGTAACGAGGTGGGGATGGGGTGGGGAATTTCTTAGCGCCCCCGCCCCGTTGTCATCCCTAATGGTGGCGGCGACGATGGTTTACATATTTTGACTATGGTTTTTGTTAATGGAGATGCTGGTGGATTTAGTAGTGGTGGTGGATCTAGCTATGGAGGTAAGTTTTGTTCGATCGACGGTGGATCTAGTGGGGTGAATCTAATGGTGGCGGTGACTTTGTTAGATATGGAGGGAGCAGTGATTTTGTTAGACCGACGATTGTGGAGGTTTTTGTTGATACATGAGGTGGTGGTGGTGGTGGTTGTTATTGATACATGCGATGGTGGTGGTGGTGCGACGACAGATTGAAGATTTTTTTGGTGGGATTGTGGTCGTGGAGTTGTAGGCGGGTGGACGTGACATGAGGTGGTGTAACTGAATCACTGGTGGTGGTGGTGGTGGTTGTGTTGATAGGATAGGGTAGGGTGGGTAGGGTAGGGTGGGGAATTAAAAGTATTTGTGACCAATTATTTGGTTGATTGTAACAATAAATTAGTTAATATGTGACCAATAAATAATTTATGATCAATTATTTGGTTGATTATGACCAACGAATTAGTTAATTCGTAATCAACAAATAATATGCGATCTAAAAAATGCGACTGCAACTCATAATTTACTAAATTGTGATCGAGAAATTACTTGTGACCGTTAAATAAATTGCAACTTATAAAATTTGTAATTTTGTGATCGATGAATAAATTGTAATCTATAAAATTTTTGATCTGTGAGAGAGAATAATTTGTGGCCTACAATTTTTTTTTTATCCATGATAGAGAAATAATTTGTTACCTATAAAAATTTTGATCTATGACCCAAACATAATTTGTAACCAATTAATTTGACAATTCGTGATCAAATTGTATAGATTTGTGAGTTTTATTTATTTAATTTATAAAATATTTTTTAATTAATAATTTCATAATATTTGAGTTATGAAATTTTAAACTTTATTTCTTTGTTTTGAAATGAGTAATAGTTAGAATCTTATATATGAATTTTTCCCTTATTATTATGATATAAATTGTCGGTGATGTGATAATCCATTATTCATCACATTTCCCACCCTCTCTCTTTCCCTACTCACTCATATAAATTTATATGTCCAATCTCATTATTTCTCATAGAATGTCATATCAACGATGATTTATTATTATGATGATAAATAACATTATTCGGCCAGATATATCTTGTTGTAGAGTCCGTAGAGCCTAGTGGGCCCGATGGCTCTATTTTTTTTTTTTTGCCCTTGCTTTGTAGAAATTAAAATTAAAATTCTAATTTAAGTTCAAATCATCAATTAATTTTAATCATACATTTCATGAAACCCATAACTTTTTAATTGTATATTTCATTTACTTTTATCAAAATCTATTCAAAATCTGATTTTAATCCCTATCAAATAGAGGATTATGTTGGAGAAACTTGACAGAAGCTCTACAATTTTTTAATTTTTTTTTTAATTTTCAAAAGGTACATCATTTCATTGTCTACAATTTACAACCTAATTTTTTTTTTAGAAAAATACCTCATTTTCATTTGAAGTTAACATTTCATAATTTTCTTCTAAATTTAATATTTTGATATTTTTAATTTCAAAACAACATTTTGACACGGACGATATATTTTGTTATCGTATATTACTTTATTAAAAGTTCACGTTTTACACATGTAACGTGTTATTCTTACTTTTTTATCTCTAATTTTTACACAAGTCATTTATTATTTGAGACACCTCATAGTACTTACGTTATTCTTATTTTTATTCAACCAACATCATCAACAAAACACCACCATCACCACATTGCACTACCCATAATCATCCTCATACCATCACCTCCTGTCACCACGACAAAACATAGGTAAAACATTATCTTACATGCTCGAAACTACTACACCACCACAAAACACAAGTAAAACGTTATTTTACACATTTGAAACCACTCTGCCACCACAACAAAACTCGAGTAACACATTATGTTACTCTCCTCAAACAATTTCCATAATATAGTCTGCCGCTACCACCACTTCAAAACATGGGTAACACATTATGTTGCACTCGTAAAATCACACACACACCCCTCCCTATCTGCCACCATAACCACAAAACACAAATAATATTACCCATCAAAAACCATCCCCACACCACTGTTTATCACCACCACCAAAACACAAGTAACACATTATGTTTACCCATCTAAAATGACTTTCCACCATCGTCTGCCACCTCCACCACGGTATAAACGACCACCACCTTTTGAAAATGATTCATTTTATTTATTAAAGTTACCATTATATCTTATATGATTTAATATAATATGGAATCTCTTTGGGTACAACAGATAAGGAACCAACCTGCCAACAACCATGTTAACTTGATCATGAACAAATAATAGGCTTAAACCACCAATATAACTAGAATTTAATGCATTCATCGATGTCAAAGTTTAGACATTTTTCGATAGTTTAATCAGCTTCTTTGTGCTTGTGCAGTTTCAGTAAGGCCTCAACTTTTAAGGAAAATATCTTCATCAATTACCCCAACAAAAAACTGAGTATTAATTACTTTTCAATTTTAATTTGGAAAGCACGTGCTACCACATTAAATGTGGTAATCTTTCAATACAAAAGATGCACATTGTGAAACAGAGAAAGGGAGGGAACAATATGTTTAACTATCAATTTGACCCAGATTCATCCTAAATTTGAGCCTTGATCCTTTCCCTTTTTTGACTTGATGTCGATCCAATTTTTAAAACATTGCTATAAATAGCTATGCGTAGGTAAATGTATAGTTTTTAGACCCAACCCTGGGAATTGGGATCGACCCAGGTGAGGTCCTAGGTCTCGAGTTATTGATCGAACAAATATATCAGTAATCGTATCGGTAGGTCATTGCTTTATAAAAAAAAATTAAAGTATTAATTCTTTTAAGGCAAAATTAAAGTTTTTAAGTTATTTGTCACTAATTATTTAAGTCTATAAAATAAAGTAAAATGTTGGACCATAATATTTTGAAAAATATTTTAGAAAAATATAAATGATTAATGTAATACATATAAGCTATTGTACAAAAGTAACAATAAAGTATTGTGTGTTTTAGTGGTGAGCAGCAATCATTGTACTTAGAGGTCAAAACACTGTTAGTAAACTTGGCCCGAATTTACCCATCAAACCAAGAACTCGACAACTTGTGCCCTTGGCTGGGCTGAGTAGAACCGATTTATTGGAATGAACGTGGCTCGATCAAAAATGGGATTTGATCAAGTCAACCAGCGATTTTATGTTAAACGTTGGACCAATTGACTAGATTTCAAAATTTAAAACTTTTGATCCAAGGATTCCGTGGACCTCTAAGTTAAATAATGGATTATTGTTACCTTTGTGCTATAACTTATATGTAACTCCTGAATCATTTATACTTTTCTAAAAATATTTTAAAAAATTATGGTTCCGACATTTTATTTTATTTGTTAAACTTAAATAATTATTGATTAATAGCTTGAAAACTTCAATTTTTCCTCAAAGAAAAAACTGATACATCAATTTTTTTTTATAATTTTTAAGCATTGACCCATTAGCTTGATCACTGACCCATTGGTTCGATCAGTAACTCGAGACCTAGTACAACATCCATGTCGGATCTAATAACTATGGGTCCAAGGTTCCATTTCAACCCAAAAAATTTAAAAGAGAATTTTGAAACCCGATCAAATTGGTCAATGTGGCCGATAGTTTAACATAAAATCGATGGTTGACCTAGTCAAACCCCAAGTTTTGATCAGGTCACATGCATTCCAGTAAATTATTCTTACCTGGCCTGTTCGACAAGTCCGGGACAAACTGATTAATAACTCTAGGTAAAGGTAAATATATGCATTATCTAAACACTAGTCAATTCTCTATCTATGCAGGGGAAATGGAAGTAGAATTCATTTGAATCCTCCTGTTAGCCCAAGAGTAACTAATCAAGAGGGGATGAATTGATTTTTAAAACTTTTTCGACACTTAGTCTCAAAACAATACAATACATAAGATATAAATGTAAAATATAATACTATAATTAAATATGCAAGTTTGATAACTTAATTCAAATATGGATATAGCACAATATAAATGACAATGTAAAGTAAAGTGCAATAATATAATGATAACAAACCAATTTAATAAGGTTCGATACATAAT